CCACAGGAATTTCGCATCAGCGTTATTATTGACGTGAATATGTCCAGGTAATAAGTCAGTGCTACTGCTTGTGGAATATCGTAGAAATCGTGGACGAATATCATCTATTCTCGGTCAGATCTGTATTTTGTATTCAGGGCCTTATGAATAAATTATGTCTTTAGTCCAGGTTAGAATTGAAATCACTCAACCCATGACTGTCGTAAGAGCAGCTGACGGGATCGGGTGGTCAGGCTCCTTACTTGGTTGACACATGTCACAGTATGGCATTGTCGTAGATCGAGGCTGACGCCTTGGAGCAGGGGATGGCCTGCTCCAGACACCCCCCGGGAAGATTGCAACACACAAGACGGTGATTGATCAGAAAAAGCAAGCAACACGTGTAACCCGATTCCGGTAATGAATACGCTTCGCTGTGTGAATATGAATGTTTTATATTCGTCCCTGATATATCGGATCTATATTGTGTAACGGCCACACTGAAATATTGATGCACAGACATCCTCGTGAGGGTGTTCGAGACAATAGTATTTCCTGGCATACAATCTGCTTGTAAATGACATCGGAACAATGGACCCTAACAAATAAGCTTCCGTCTTAGCATTTAAAAATAACAATTGACAAACCTTTTCCGACATAAACGTTTCCCATTTCAAGTAAGCCAAGCACCATAATCCGAAATTGTCATCACGAAAGACATTCAATGTAACTAGAGAATAGAGCGTGTTTCCTTTCAAAGGACCGCGACATACCAACCAAAACAGACGGTGCCATAACATCCAATGTAACTAGAGAATAGAGCGTGTTCCCTTGCAAAGGACCGCGACATACCAACCAAAACAGACGGTGCCATAACATCCAATGTAACTAGAGAATAGAGAACGGTTGGTTGTCAAAAAAGGAAACGGTTCCAGTGCCAGTCCTCGTGAAGAACTTGATTTCAGGTTCAATGGTGATTTTGAAACCATTCCTCAGTTGCAAGAGAAACGTGATTTACAGCTAAAAGGCTTCATGGAAGATAACCTCAAAGTTACCTGGAAGGAATTATCGGACTATAATAGAGCAAGAACGACATGGGACGACTTTCGACTGAAGGAGTATGTCAGTGCTTTACCAAAAACTCGCGAGGTGGATCCTTCCTGCTTGGAATAGGGGAAAAGATAAAATCAGAGGTAAATACAAATCAAAAGATTCACTTGTCCAAGGAGTGCCTCTTGAGGATGAAAATGCGTCTTCAGAGGCTACCTAAAAGAAGTAGCGCGTGACGAGAGCATGGTGTGTGATTTTGAAGGTGGCACTGCTAACTGGGACATGATGAAGGTGAGATGCACTCTTGTCCCTCCCGAAAAGAGACAAGCAAGTACCACAGGAGCTCAGCACAGTATGAAGTACTACGTTGTCGAAATACTGGTTTACCCAATCAATGGAATGGCATTTTATGACAAAAGAGGCCCTCTATCATGCCGAATCGTCAACAACACATGTACCCCAGTTGATGTAAAAACATGGTTCGAAAAAGATTGCATTGACCAATAAGACTTCGTTCTGATGATTAACACATTGTCAGATGTCATTAAGAACAGACGACATATAGAGATCAATACAGATTGACAGACAGACATCTTCGTGATGTACATACATGTTTTAAATATTCATCTTGAGAATAGTAGCTACTTGTTTATAAGTACCTCCGAAATAAAATGTCAATACCGCGGTTTCTTTCCGTTATCAAACGTTCGTTTTATGTGTCTTGTCCTTGGATTTAGTAGGTTTTACCGTGTATTACCATGTCAAAATGTCATGTAAAAATAATTAAAAAAATTATTTGATGTTCAAATTTATGTCCGGATTCAGTATATTTGAATATCTGGCCTTGGCAATCCCTCGCCTATAACTCAAATATGTAGTCGTATACCTATGCTATATTTTCTTAAATGTGAAGATCCGGAATACAATTGATCTTCAGCAACCCATGCTTGTTATAAGAGGCGACTAACGGGGTTGGGTAGTCAGACTCGTTGACTTGGTTGACACATGTCATCGGTTCCCAATTGCGTAGATAGATGCTCATGCTGTTGATCACTGGATTGTCTGGTCCAGGCTCGATTATTTACAGACCGCCGCCATATGGCTTGGCTATTTCTGAATGCGGCGTAAAACAACAAACAATGCTTTGGCAATCTTTGTCTAATTAGTTTAAACGTACATTCTTACACCGATCTTATTTTTTCCGTCATGGATGTAATGAATGTAAGTATTCAGCATTTCACGGCTATTACGCAAAGGCCACGGATATGTACAGGCATTGTCAACACAAACTTGCTGTTCGATTTGCTAGGGTTATTATCCTACTGGTTATTTACACTATTTGTAGATAGTGAGTTTGGCTTCACACAGCTTTGGCAACACTGTTTCATTTGTATATGTATTAAGTCTTGTCAACTTTATGTGGAGTGAGTCAGGATGATTATACATCGCTTTTAGCAATATTCCAGTAGTATCACTGCGGGGAATCGACTTCTGCGTCATGATTTGACGCTTTAACCATCACCGCTCCGCTTCATGTGGAGGAAAGCTATGAATGACATGAAACTTGAAAATTACATGCATCGTAGGATGCTTGCACAGTGTGATATGTACAACGATGGACGTGGGTTCATGGTTCTGCTAATTATAACTGTGGACAACTAGATGCCGAGAACCATCATGCCCCTTAGTAGTTATTGTTAGGTATATCTCATCTTTGTTCAAATATTTGCACATGATTCGTGTTTCTCTGTTGTGGAATGATCTGTGCATTAAAAGTTAGTGCCTTAAGCTTCGCATTGTAATAAAAAAAATTGAACTGGCACCGATGTGTTGGTTTTTATTTGCACTGTCGAAATCGTATACTGTGTTTTACCCGTGCCAGGATCCTCCATAAATACCTTATTTAAGACCTTTATTACACGTTATGAAATATCCATCGGGAACGAGACTAGCTAGACTGCAGTAATTGTCTTCTCTACTTTGATAGGCATTTTCGTTTACAAATACACCAGTGATATATGGACATTCCACAGGAATTTCGCATCAGCGTTATTATTGACGTGAATATGTCCAGGTAATAAGTCAGTGCTACTGCTTGTGGAATATCGTAGAAATCGTGGACGAATATCATCTATTCTCGGTCAGATCTGTATTTTGTATTCAGGGCCTTATGAATAAATTATGTCTTTAGTCCAGGTTAGAATTGAAATCACTCAACCCATGACTGTCGTAAGAGCAGCTGACGGGATCGGGTGGTCAGGCTCCTTACTTGGTTGACACATGTCACAGTATGGCATTGTCGTAGATCGAGGCTGACGCCTTGGAGCAGGGGATGGCCTGCTCCAGACACCCCCCGGGAAGATTGCAAACACACAAGACGGTGATTGATCAGAAAAGCAAGCAGAACATGTAACCCGATTCCGGTAATGAATACGCTTCGCTGTGTGAATATGAATGTTTTATATTCGTCCCTGATATATCGGATCTATATTGTGTAACGGCCACACTGAAATATTGATGCACAGACATCCTCGTGAGGGTTTTCGAGACAATAGTATTTCCTGGCATACAATCTGCTTGTAAATGACATCGGAACAATGGACCCTAACAAATAAGCTTCCGTCTTAGCATTTAAAAATAACAATTGACAAACCTTTTCCGACATAAACGTTTCCCATTTCAAGTAAGCCAAGCACCATAATCCGAAATTGTCATCACGAAAGACATTCAATGTAACTAGAGAATAGAGCGTGTTTCCTTTCAAAGGACCGCGACATACCAACCAAAACAGACGGTGCCATAACATCCAATGTAACTAGAGAATAGAGCGTGTTCCCTTGCAAAGGACCGTGACATACCAACCAAAACAGACGGTGCCATAACATCCAATGTAACTAGAGAATAGAGCGTGTTTCCTTTCAAAGGACCGCGACATACCAACCAAAACAGCCGGTGCCATAACTTTCCACGAACAATATCATAACTTTTTCAGGTGATGAAGGGTCATGCTAATACCGATATAATAAAATTATAATTTGATTATTTTAATTTCAGATGGCACTCTTTAACGACAAAAAGCTTAAACACATTGGTGAAAAACGAAAAGATGAAGAAGAGCAATTTGGCCAAGTATGGACTATTTTATTCTCATCCCTCAAATTCAGTTGTTGGCAGTCTTTAGCATATTTTCATATTATGTATTGTCCAAATTGTGCTATTAGTTTTAACTACATATGCTAGTTTTAAATTCGAATTGTGATAGTCTAGTTGTTTCACTGTCCTTTGACGAAGGGTTTTATATTATATACATATTCTTTATAATCAAAATTGTTCTCTTCACGATATGGCTGAAATATTGCTGATGTGACGTTAAATATCAAATCACTCACTCACTCACTCATCTCGCATCTTAACGAGCGCATAAGAAGTCTGGCACCCATGTTTTGAACCAAACCCCGAAGGCTTAACCACTTCCAACTTGTCTTTATTTTTCCAAACTGCAGTAATGCAATCTATGCCATATTTGGGATTACGCTTTCTCAGTACTAAGAAAGTGTAATCCCAAATACAACATGTGTTACATTTGACCACTTTCTAAATGGCATCCTTTCTGCGTTTTTTTTCACAACATTGAGGGGTACAACAGAGCATGCTGATCCTTTCACCACGATTTCAGAGAGCGTCACACGGCTCTTGCTAAGAACATTTAAGGCTGAAGCAAACATTCCAATCAAGTTTTATTGTAGTGAAGGGCATTTCAAACTTTGACTCGTCAGTGATACAAAAGGGTCCGTTGAAATTCCACATATCGACTTTTATCATATGTTTCCGATATATTTTTCAGGTGAACTTTTGACTAGGTTCTATGATTTTTTCATCCCTGGTTTGTAAGTGATTCATAAAAACATGCTTATGATATAGCCGGAATTGTACAATCGACTTCTCTTCTTCAGACCAAGAAAGTATGACGCCCTAAGCTATGTAGCAGCCCCATTTGAGCTTAAGGTGAGTTGTTTTCCTTTCTATACCTATATCAGAAAGTCATAGTATCGTAAAAATGTACTCAGTCATATGAGATGTTTGCGAAATTAAGAGTAGTTGTAGTAGTTCCCATAAAGTTATGATAGTAGAAGTAGAATTAACAGTAGTAGTAATAGCAATAGCAATGATAGTAGTAGTGGTAATAGTAGTAGTAGTAATAGCAAAAGTAATGATAGCAGTAGTTATAATAGTAGTAGTAGTTATAGTAGTAATAGTAGTAGTAATAGTAGTAATAGTGGTAGTAATAGTAGTAATAGCAATAGTAATGTTAGTAGTAGTGGTAATAGTAGTAGTAGTAGTAGTAATATCAGTAGTGGTAATAGTAGTAGTAATAGTAGTAGTAGTGGTAATAGTAGTAGTAGTTGTAGTAATAGTAGTAGTAGTAATAGCAGTAGTTATAATAGTAGTAGTGGCAATAATGAAAGTAGTAGTAATAGCAGTAGTATAATAGTAGCAGTAGTAATATAGATAGTAGTAGTAATAGTAGTAGTAATACTAGTAGTAATTGCAGCAGTAATGATAGTAGTACTAGTAATACCAATAGTAGTAATTGCAGCAGTAATGATAGTAGTAGTAATTGTAGTAGTAATACCAATAGTAGTAATTGCAGCAGTAATGATAGTAGTAGTAATTGTAGTAGTAATACCAATAGTAGTAATTGCAGCAGTAATGATAGTAGTAGTAATAGTAGTAGTAATACTAGTAGTCGTAGTAGTAATAGTAGTAATAATAACAATAATAATTGTAGTGGTAATATTATTAGTAATACTACTAGTACTATTATCTATACCGTTACATATTTTGATGGTGAAAGCAATATCTGACGCCTTGAAGCTCAGTGACGAGTACAGTTTGCCAGGAACATGGTCCTGTTATCAACCCTCACACTACAAATGGCATAATTGTGTTTCATACACGGACATATCAGTGGAAACTAATTAAAAGTTGTTATTTTTCAGACTAACGTCTGCGTGGAACCGCAGCAATTCAACATTCAAACGAAAGACTTCTTTCTACCATCACTACAACAGATTGGTGACAGTATCAAAGACATTCGAGAATTCTACTGTCCTCGTGGTATGTTCTTGTTTCTATCCGTCCAAGAAAGGTTGTTACATCAATGTTCCAATACACTGACAAATTTAAGATTGAAAAAATCCCAGGAAGTAATTAATTGGTATGTCCCTATTGAAATGTGACATGTTTGTATGTCGCCCCATTCAGCAATATTCCAGATATATGGCGGCGCTCTGTAAATAATTAATTCTGGATCAGACAGTCTTGTGATCGACAGCATAAGCATCGATCTACGCAACTGGGATACGATGACATGTGCCAATCAAGTCTGACAACCCGATCCCGTTAGTCGCCTCTAAGTTGCTAAATTTAAATTCTAACCCGGACGTTAACGTGTCGGAATGTGTCACGTCCCCCAACACATGCAAATAAATATTTCCTGTATTAAATGCAGATGATTTATATATATATATGGTCACAGTAAAATGCATTCAAATGTTATTATAAAATAACTATCACTGATATTCATGATTTATACTTGCAGGTAAACTTAGCATTGTGCCTAAAAGCCTTACCGCCAGTCTAAAGAGGACCACTGAGAAACTTGTAACTTTCCTTCAAGAAGAAACATTTTCTTTGTCCAAAAACAGTGGACTGATAGACACAGCCAAACCAAGACTTCTTCAAGAAACAGATGGTTTCATCTTTATCGCTAAGACATTGTGTTTTCCATTAAATATACCGTGCAGTGAGTTGCCATCAGATATCCACTGCGACATTGTCCCGATGCTCTCTCAACCCGCATTTGTGCTGACTGTAGCTTTGATAACGACACCCCAGAAGCAAGGAAATACAACGTCAGTGTTGCTAGAGGGCTGATCACCTCCCTCAATAGGTTCATTGACGATGACTTTTCAGCAGTGTTTGGTGTTGTGTGCAAGTCTCATCTTGACTCATGTGATACATTTCAATCCAAGTTGAAGACGCTTGCGCATTCATGTAGCAGATTTGTTACGTTTGACTCCCTTTACATGTCAGAAGGAAAATATGATAAACTCATTACTTCTTTTTGGGCTTCAGTTGCCAAAGTAGAGCCTGGCGATCAGTTTCCCGACGCAGAAAGGATTAATTTCCTAACAAAAGAACAATGCACAGTGTTGTTAGAAAATATGAATTCCAAATATGTGTTTGTGTTGACGCTTCCAAAGTGTGGTGGAACTACTCTGATGTTGGAAGTTGCTAGAAGACTTCAAAACTTTCTACCAACCTATCTCATGGTCAAATCAGTGGAAGACAAGTCCAAGTACAGGTCAGATCATTTCACTATCTTACTGGAATGAATGAATGAATATGGTTTTAGGCCGCTTTTAGCAATACTCCAGCAATATCACGGCGGGGGACACCAAAAATTGGCTTCACACATTGTACCCATGTAGGGAATCGAAACCGGGCCTTCTGTGTGACAATGAATGCATGAATGTTTAACCAGGTAAACTGCACCACCCATGTGAATCAAAATGTCCTTTAACATAATTATTTGCAAATAATTACTGTCCAACTAGAAGAGAAATTGTTTCAGACCTCTTTACGGATGGTGGCAAGGTAACACATTTGCCAGCAACCGCAAAGCTGGCTCATGGATAAAATAAACACAAGACTCATCCTCTCCGGACACCACATTCCTATCGGATTTTGTCACAGAAATACTCATCCAATTAACCTATTACAAGATTTTTGCAAATATATACAGTCTAAATTATACATCTACCAAACACATAGCTACTTTTTAGCTTTTGCAACATGAACTTGACAGATGTTATCTTCTGAGTAGATATTCTGCAATTCTATTCTACAAAATCGATCATTTTTATACATTTTGGGCATTATGTCAGAACCTGTTTACTTCGTAATGTTGTCAGATGTTTGCTCCAACTTTCATTGTAGCTTTGTTGAATTCATGATCACAACTATAAGGTAACATAAAACAAGTTATTATATGATAATAGACTAGTATGTACTTTTACTGAATTTCTATTGTCTTGCATATCTATGATGTTTTGGGGGACATCTTAACGCATACGTGAACATCAAAGTCACAATGAAACAGTATTCATTATCAAGAAGTAGCGGACATGGTTCATTCCCAAGTAAAACCCAGTTTGATTAACGTTAAGGTGTTAACGTTGAAAACAAAGTTGATGAACTTTGCTGGCACAGAATCATTATGTCTATGACATATGTTTTTCACATTTATACAGCCTGAGTCATGGCTAACTACTTTGTCAACAACAATAACCGTTTGGTATCTGATGTATGTTTCAGATGTTCGTGTAAGAGTGTTTCAACGACATTGATTTCTGAAAGTCCTGTCATAACACATGTCTTGGACATCAACTGCGAGTCCGAGAGAGCTGCTGTCGCGGAATCAATTCTACCTTTGCATGATGACCAAACCATCAAACTTATGTGGACCTTCTGTTCGGGTATATTACAAAGACAAAATCATATCACAATACAATCAAAATATAATCTATACATTTGGGCGGTGGGGTAACCTAGTGGTTAGAGCGTTCGCTCCTCACGCCGACGGCCCGGGTTCGATTCCCTACATGGGTACAATTTCTAAAGCCCATTTCTGGTGCCCCCCGCCGAGATATTGCTGGAATATTGCTCAAATCGGCGTAAAACCATACTCAGTCACTCAGTCAGGCATAATTATACCAGATTCCATTTGTTTGCTAATTTTAAAAACTTTACCCTCAGCGTGTTGAAGTCTAAGGAAGGAAATACCAAAGGGATTTGTAATGCACAGCAGACTTTACCTCATGGTCTCTAGAGAGTAATATTTCTTTAACTATGTATCAAATAAGTAAAATCAAATTTAAAACTAATTCACAACATACAAAATAACACATATGGATGTATTTAAGATCACTTTCTATATGCTGCAGACTTCATCAGGCCGCAAATTATGGATGAGATACTTGACTTGTTTGGATCATACCGCCATGTGCTTCTTGTTGGGTCAGCTGGTGAAGGAAAATCAGTCACGGGCCTTCTTCTTCTTGAGCACTTCAGGTCAAGGGGAATAAGTGTACTACATGCAACAAGTGCCGCGAAAATGAAGAGTGCTGTTCAAAACTCTGAAGAAACTTTCATCTTTTGCGATGACGTGTTTGGGAAATTCAGGTGCACATTTACATTAACACCAGATTTGGAAAATATATTCAGTCGGCTCCAAACGAAGACTAACATTAAAATGCTGCTCACCAGCAGATGTGATGTTTACGACGATGCACGTCAGCGTTTGGGGAAGCTAAAATCTCATTTTGAAGGTTCAAGGGAATTGAATCTAACAGAGAAAACCCAGACAAGTGAGAAGGCGAAAATGTTAGATAGATACTTAGAAGCAAGTAACAGGCGTATCCCTGACAATGAGAAGGAAAGTATAGTTTTGAAACACAATACACATGGATTTGCTCACTCGTGTCATTTGTTCGTCACTCTTGGAAAGGAGAATACAAAAGCCGGACAATTCTTTGACAATCCTTGTCTTTCGCTGAAAAACGCATTCTACATCTTTTGAGGAATTCTAGTCATGAAGTGCCTCTCTATCTCTTAACGGCATTCAGAGGCACACTTTGATTTGGAAGATCCTGCTGAAGATTCAGCAGAAAAACGATGGAAGGTTATAAGACATGTTGGAGAAACATCCATGTCTGAAGTTTTCTCCGTTGCTGCAGAGGAGCCATTCTTGTTTACAACAGAAGGTTCTGTGAAGTTTTCTCATCCATCCTTTCTTGAAGTATCGTCAAATATCATAGCCAAAAGTGATATTTCATTCATGATACAATATGGACCTCTTGAATTGTTTGAAAAAGCAAGCGATATGAGAGACCAAACATACAGCATTAAAATTTCGGAAGACAGTCATTTCATCGAACTAGCAGAAAGGTTTTTACACGAAATAGAACTTGGTGCATTTGAAAGCTGCTGCTCACATCGATTGCTAAGAAATCAAAACTTTGTGGATCAAGTAATCTGTCGCCTCCCCACTTCGACAGATGACTTAGCCATCGAGAGGCTATTATACTGGGCATCCAGCAATGGTTCAGATGCGATGATGAAAGCGTTGTTACAGAAGTACACACTTACAAGGGAAACGTGCCATCAGGCGGTTCTGGGCAGCAGCAGATGGGGCAATCATTCCGCATTGGAGTACATTATAAGCAGTTTGAAACTGACTTCACGGGATATTGATGACATAACTGAGGATGGGTTGCCATGCCTTATTGTAGCAGCCAATCAAAATAACGTTGAAGTGTGTAAAGTGCTAATCAAACACGACGTGGATGTATACATCACAGATCCACGTATGGGGGCAAATGCACTTCATTGGGCTGCTGCAGCTGGTCACTACGACTGTGTGGAGGTTCTGTCAAGACACATATCACCTGAACGTGAAAGCAATGGGGGAGTTACGCCTTTATTTGTGGCTGCAGAAAACGGTCACCTGGGTGTGTTTAAACTTCTCCTCCGAAAGGGTGCAGTTATCAATAAAAAGATAAAAAGCAGGATTGTGTCATTAACAAATCCTAGAAACGAAGGCCGTGCACTGGTTAAACAACTAAATGTATCAGATGAAGGTTTTACACCTCTTCATGTGGCAAGCTATGAAGGACATTTGGACATAGTAGAACTTTTGATAACTGAAGGGGCTGATGCCAATTTGAAGGCTGATTTAGGACCTCCGGTAGCCTTTGCTGCAAAAAGCAAATGATATGTGCATCTTCGTCTGTTTCTCGGTGATGACAGAGTAGCTTTCAGTGACGTTATCTCTGCAGCATATGAATATGGTCGTACTGAAATGCTGAAAGAGGCTGTCCTACATAAACGGTCCAAAGCTAATGACATTATAAAAGCAACTTTGCGGGGGCATCTTGAAACTGTGAAGGAATTACTTGAGGAGTCTGAAGAAGGCTTAAGCTCACATATCGAAGGATACTCACTTCTTCATCTAGCAGCGGCTTTAAACCATGGAGATATTGTGGATGAGCTCCTACAAAGAAAGATTGAAGTGAACAAATCTTCTGAAGGTGGATTCACAGCTTTGCACGGAGCATCTATAACTGGCTCTTCTTCGGTTGTTGAAAGTCTCATCAAAAGGGAAGCTGATGTTGACCGGCTTGCTAATGGTTTTGGTCCTCTTCACTTTGCATCGATGTATGGAAACACAAATACAGCCAGGATTCTGATACAACATCAAGCAAATATCCATCTGAAAGGTTATCATCAGTGGAGCCCACTACACGTTGCAAGCATCCACAATCAACCCGACCTTGTTCGGCTTTTGCTGGAGAACAATGCTGACGTGGAAGCTTTGTCTGAAGATCTCTCAACACCTCTTGTATTTGCTTCATACCTGAACAATATGGACATAGCAGATGTATTGTTAGATCATGGAGCTAACTTGCATCCCAGAGGTATAGGCCATACCACCCACTTCTAGGTACTGCTCTCTTGGGCCACCCTGAAGCTGTGAACAATTTGTTGCAGAGAGGTGCAAAAGTGAATCATGTCAGTGCAGTTGGTGTAAGTGCTTTGCATGGAGCTGCATACATGGGGGCAATGGATGTGCTCGAGTGTCTCCTTGAGAATGAAGCAGATCCAAATCTGAAGCTGTTTGAAGGGATATCACCTGAGGAGAAATCTAAAATTGCAAGTCATGTGGAGCAATGGTGCAAAAACACTCCCGGGAAGGATATCAATTTGAGAAGGTATGATGGTGGTTCTGCACTACATGTGGCTGTTGACATGGGTTACACAGACATGGTGCGACTTCTGTTGAAATCGGGCGCTGATCCGAATCTCAGGAACATGGACAATGAAATAGCAATAGATATTGCGAGGGAGAAGAAGCACAGTGGCATCTTGAGACTACTGGAATCGTCCTAAACTGGCTCTGCCATTAATGAGCAAAGGTTCAAGAAGCGCCAAGACTGTCCATTTGGTCCAAGGAAAGCTATTCATTTCAGCAGCCATTTCAAGGTAGCAAGAAGCGGTAGCAATGAATGTTGTGTTCATCTGAGACATAATACTTTGTTTATTAATGATCCTCTGAATCTTAATGATGTCATATACTACATTGCATGTCCTGCTTGACTGTGTTGTTATCCATCACAAAGGATAAATATTTTAGTGTTAAAACGGTGGAAGATAATTTTAACAAAGTTAATTATCATTTACTTATTGAGTTTTTAAAAGGAATTGAACTGATTGATAAAGTTTGATTCATACAATTTGTCGATATATGTAATTTAATGATTGGCAGTTTAGATTAGTAGCTTAGATTATTAGTGGCTGTAGCCTCAAGGGGGTTAAAGTATTGTAAAATTACTGTTCTCCTGAAAGGGTACGTAAGTACCCAAACTCTCAAAGTAAATTTCAATCTTACCAGGATTTTAAGCGTAGAATTTTTGTGATTTCTATTATTGACTGCAATCGCCGGCTGCTGAAGGGATGATGTCAATCCAAAAAAGGGGCCATGTAGGTAATAAAGGTACTGTAAGTCCCCATGGTCCTTAGTATGGTGATCAGCCTTTGGTTGCTGGTGATATATAGCCTGTTCTTATATTGTACTGTAATCTCTCGTGATATATTTTCGTGATAGCGTACTAGTTTTGAATTAAGAACTGTGATAATCTAGTATTTTTACTGTCCTTCGATGGCAGGTTTTACGTAATACATTTATTGGATTTGAATATTGATATAAACCGTTTCTCGTCACGCAGTTATCTCGGAGGACATTACAAAGTGCCCAAAATAGTCCGTTCACACTTTTCTTATAATACTGTTTAATATAGATATAGCAATGAATCCTGTAAATAGATACATCTCTTTGTTTCCACATGGTTGCAAGTCTACACTCCTCTTTCCAATGTTCCTGTTTTACACTGACACAACCGGTCATTTCAAGGGTGTAAAATGACAAGACCACTGTACATAATCATAATCACATATGGTTTGGGGGCTGTAACTATCCATGTCATTATACTGGTCATTTTATCACATGAAGTATATTCCTGTAAAGGTGGTTTAATGTTCGTATAACAACATTTGTACTCATCTAAATGGTTTTCCTTTATATCAGATTATTTTCCTGAAATGTTTGGTACCTATATCTAACAGTCTTCTTCTATGCAAGGTGTGTTTGGATTTGTAATGCCGGTACTAGATAATGACACTAGGATATGATACCTGGACATATGACACTAGAAAATGACACCAGGACATATGACACTAGATAATGATACCAGGACATCAGACACTTGAAAATGACACCTGGACATATGACAGTAGACAATGACACCAGGACATATGACATTAGAAAGTGTCACCAGGACATATGACACTAAAAGATGACACCAGGACATATGACACTAGAAAATGACACCAGGTCATATGACACTAGAAACTGTCACCAGGACATATGACATTAGAAAATGACACCAGGACATATCACACTACAAAATGACACCAGGACACATGACATGACACTAGAAAATGACACCAGGACATATGACACTACAAGATGATGACAGGACATATGACACTAGAAAATGACACTAGGATACATGACATTAGAATCTGATACCTGGACACATGACACTAGAAAATGACACCAGGACATATGAAACTAGAAAATGACACCAGGACATATGACACTAGAAAATGACACCAGGACATATGACACTAGAAGATGACGACAGGACATATGACACTAGAAAATGACACCTGGACATATGACACTAGAAAATGACACCAGGACATATGATACTAGAAAATGACACAAGGACATATGGCACTAGAAAATGTCACCAGGACATGTGACACTAGAAAATGACACTAGGATATATGACACTAGAATCTGATACCTGGACATATGACACTAGAAAGTGACACCAGAACATATGACACTACAAGATGATGACAGGACATATGGCACTTGAAAATGACACCTGGACATATGACATTAGAAAATGACACCAGGACATATGACACTAGAAAATGACACCAGGACATATGACAGTAGATAATGACACCAGGACATATGACACTAGAAAATTACGCCTGGACATATTACACTAGAAAATGATACCAGGACATATGATACTAGAAAATGACACCAGGACATATGACACTAGTAAATGACACCTGGACGTATGACACTTGAAAATGACACCAGGTCATATGACACTAGACAATGATACCAGGACATATGGCACTAGAAAATCACACAAGGACAAATGGCACTAGAAAATGCCACCAGGACATATGACACTAGAAAATGACAACAGGATATATGCCACTAGAAATTGACACTAGGATATATGACACTAGAATCTGATACATGGACATATGACACTAGAAAGTGACACCAGGACATGTCAAACTAGAATATGATTCCAGGACATATGGCACTAGAAAATGGCTCAGGGACATATGACACTAGAAGAAGACACCAGGATATATGACACTAGAAAATGACACCTGGACATATGACACTAGAAAATGACACCAGGACATATGGCACTTGAAAATGACACCAGGACATATCGCACTAGAAAATGTCTCCAGGACATATGACACTAGAAAATGATACCAGGACATATGACACTAGAAAAGGACACCTGGACATATGACACTAGAAAATGACACCAGGACATATGATACTAGAAAATGACACAAGGACATATGGCACTAGAAAATGTCACCAGGACATATGACACTAGAAAACGACACCAGGATATATGACACTAGAATCTGATACCTGGATATATGACACTTAAAAATGCCAGGACATATGATACTGGAAAATGACACCATGACATATGACACTAGTAAATGACACCTGGACGTATGACACTTGAAAATGACACCAGGACATATGACACTAGAAACTGTCACCAGAACATATGACACTAGAATATGACACCAGGATATATGACACTAGAAAATGACACCAGGACATATGAAACTAGAAAATGACACCTGGACATGTGATAGTAGAAAAATGACACCAGGACATATGACACTAGAAACTGTCACACCAGATCATATGACACTAGAAAAGACACCAGGATTATATGACACTAGAAAAGGACACCAGGACATATGACACTAGAAAATGACACCAGGACATATGGCACTAGAATGACACCTCGACATATGAGACTAGACACTAAAATGACACCAGGACATATGATACTAGAAAATTACACCATGACATATGACACTAGAAAATGACACCAGGACATATGGCACTTGAAAATGATACCAGGACATATGACACTAGAAAAGGACACCTGAACATATGACATTAGAAAATGACACCAGGATTTATGACACTAGAATCTGATACCTCGACATATGATACTAGAAAGTGACACCAGGACATATGATACTAGAAAATCACACCATGACATATGACACTAGTAAATGACTACTGGACATATGACACTTGAAAATGACACCAGGACATATGACACTAGAAACTGTCACCAGAACATATGACACTAGAAGAAGACACCAGGATATATGACACTAGAAAAGGACACCTGGACATATGACACTAGAAAATGACACCACGACATATGCCACTAGAATGTGATACCTCGACATATAAGACTAGAACGTGACACCATGACATATGACACTAGAAACTGTCACCAGAACATATGACACTAGAAAATGACACCAGGATATATGACACTAGAAAATGATACCAGGACATATGAAACTAGAAAATGACACCTGGACATCTGATAGTAGAAAAAGACACCAGGACATATGACACTAGAAACTGTCACCAGAACATATGACATTAGAAAATGATACCAGGATATATGACACTAGAAAATGATACCAGGACATATGAAACTAGAAAATGACACCTGGACATCTGATAGTAGAAAAAGACACCAGGACATATGACACTAGAAACTGTCACCAGAACATATGACACTAGAAGAAGACACCAGGATATATGACACTAGAAAAGGACACCTGGACGTATGACACTAGAAAATGACACCAGGACATATGACACTAGAAAAGGACACGTGAACATATGACATTAGAAAATGACACCAGGATTTATGACACTAGAAACTGATACCTCGACACATGAGACTAGAAAGTGACACAAGGACATATGATACTAGAAAATGACACCATGACATATGACACTAGTAAATGACACCTGGACGTATGACACTAGAAAATGACACCAGGACATATGATACTAGAAAATGACACCAGGACATGTGATAGTAGAAAAAGACACCAGGACATATGACACTAGAAGAAGACACCAGGATATATGACACTAGAAAAGGACACCTGGACATATGACACTAGAAAATGACACCAGGACATATGGCACTAGAATCTGATACCTCGACATATAAGACTAGAACATGACACCAGGACATATGACACTAGAAACTGTCACCAGAACATATGACACTAGAAAATGACACCAGGATATATGACACTAGAAAATGACACCAGGACATATGAAACTAGAAAATGACACCTGAACATATGACATTAGAAAATGACACCAGGATTTATGACACTAGAATCTGATACCTCGACATATGAGACTAGAAAGTGACACCAGGACATATGATACTAGAAAATGACACCATGACATATGACACTAGTAAATAACACCTGGACGTATGACACTAGAAAAGGACACCAGGACATATGACAGTAGAAAAGGACGCCAGGACATATGACACTAGAAACTGTCACCAGAACATATGACACTAGAAGAAGACACCAGGATATATGACACTAGAAAAGGACACCTGGACATATGACACTAGAAAATGACACCAGGACATATGGCACTAGAATCTGATACCTCGACATATGAGACTAGAAAGTGACACCAGGACATATGATACTAGAAAATTACACCATGACATATGACACTAGTAAATGACACCTGGACGTATGACACTAGAAAATGACACCAGGACATATGACATTAGAAAATGACACCTGGACATATGACAGTAGAATCTGATACCTCGACATATGAGACTAGAAAGTGACACCAGGACATATGATACTAGAAAATGACACCATGACATATGACACTAGTAAATTACACCTGGACGTATGACACTAGAAAATGACACCAGGGCATATGACATTAGAAAATGACACCAGGACATATGACACTAGAAAAATGACACCAGGACATATGATACTAGAAAATGACACAAGGACATATGACACTAGAAAATGTCACCAGGACATATGACACTAGAAAATGACACCAGGATATATGACCCTAGAATCTGATACCTGGATATATGACACTTGAAAGTGACACCAGGACATATGATACTAGAAAATGACACCATGACATATGACAATAGTAAATGACACCTGGACGTATGACACTTGAAAATGACACCAGGAGATATGACACTAGAAACTGTCACCAGAACATATGACACTAGAAAATGACACCAGGATATATGACACTAGAAAATGACACCAGGACATATGAAACTAGAAAATGACACCTGGACATGTGATAGTAGAAAAAGACACCAGGACATATGACACTAGAAGCTGTCACCAGAACATATGACACTAGAAGAAGACACCAGGACATATGATACTAGAAAATGACACCATGACATATGACAATAGTAAATGACACCTGGACGTATGACACTTGAAAATGACACCAGGACATATGACACTAGAAACTGTCACCAGAACATATGACACTAGAAAATGACACCAGGATATATGACACTAGAAAATGACACCAGGACATATGAAACTAGAAAATGACACCTGGACATGTGATAGTAGAAAAAGACACCTGGACATATGACACTAGAAACTGTCACCAGAACATATGACACTAGAAGAAGACACCAGGATATATGACACTAGAAAAGGACACCTGGACATATGACACTAGAAAATGACACCAGGACATATGGCACTAGAATCTGATACCTCGACATATGAGACTAGAAAATGTCTCCAGGACATATGATACTAGAAAATTACACCATGACATATGAAACTAGAAAATGACACCAGGACATATGGCACTTGAAAATGATACCAGGATATATGACACTAGAAAAGGACACCTGAACATATGACATTAGAAAATGACACCAGGATTTATGACACTAGAATCTGATACCTCCACATATGATACTAGAAAGTGACACCAGGACATATGATACTAGAAAATGACACCATGACATATGACACTAGTAAATGACACCTGGACGTATGACACTAGAAAATGACACCAGGACATATGACAGTAGAAAATGACACCAGGACATATGACAGTAGAATCTGATACCTCGACATATGAGACTAGAAAGTGACACCAGGACATATGATACTAGAAAATGACACCATGACATATGACACTAGTAAATGACACCTGGACGTATGACACTAGAAAATGACACCAGGGCATATGACATTAGAAAATGACACCAGGACATATGGCAGTAGGAAAAGACAACAGGACATATGACACTAGAAACTGTCACCAGGACATATGACACTAGAAAATGACACCAGGACATATGACACTAGATAATGACAACAGGACATGTGACACTAGGATATATGACACTAGAATCTGATACCTCGACATATGCACTAGAAAGTGACACCAGGACATATGAAACCAGAAGATGATACCAGGACATATGACACTAGAAAATGACACCTGGACATATGACACTAGAAGAAAACACCTGGATATATGACACTAGGAAATTACACCTGGACATAAGACACTAGAAAATGACACCAGGACATATGGCAATTGAAAATGACACAAGGACATATGACACTAGAAAATGTCAACAGGACATATGACACTAGAAAATGATACCCGGACATATGACACTAGAAAATGACACCTGGACATATGACATTAGAAAATAACACCAGGTTATATGACACTAGAATCTGATACCTGGACATATGACACTAGAAAGTGACACCAGGACATATGACACTACAAGATGATGACACGACATATGGCACTAGAAAATGACTCTAGGACATATGAAACTAGAAGATGATACCAGGACACATGGCACTAGTAAATGACACCTGGACGTATGACACTTGAAAATTACGCCTGGACATTTGACACTAGAAAATGACACCAGGACATATGATACTAGAAAATGACACCAGGACATATGACACTAGTAAATGACACCAGGACGTATGACACTTGAAAATGACACCAGGACATATGACACTAAAAAAAGATACCAGGACATATGGCACTAGAAAATAGCACAAGGACAAATGGCACTGGAAAATGTCACCATGATATATGACACTAGAAAATGATACCAGGACATATGGCACTAGAAAATGACACAAGGACAAATGGCACTAGAAAAGGTCACCAGGTCATATGACACTAGAAAATGATACCAGGACATATCTTCAAGTTACCATCCATGTCAGTACGTTTTTTCACAGGTGGATTAGATAGATCGATATACTTTCATCAGTAAATGTGATTATCTGTGATTTCTAGAATAGGTATAAAATACGGACTACATTCTGTCACAAACCACTCTGTGGCTGACCAATAAACTCACACATATTTACACAGGTCTTGTGTTGTTGTGTGGGTTGCTATAGTCTGTTTGCATTGAAAACGTACCGATGAATGTCAATTTAAACAAAAAAGTAAATCGAATAAGATGATATCAAGATTGCGAATCCTCATAATTTTACCTTGACAACTGAACATGTAAATTTTATTTAACTTAGGATAAAAGTTGTTTTACAAACGATCATAGTTTCAAATCGCTATTATTGGTGTGTACTACAAGGGTGTATGCACATTAAATGAAACACCGGTACATGTAGAGTTGGTCTAAGTTAACGCTTATCACGAACCGCACGTGCATTTGTTTCACTGTTCCAACTACTGCTCTTGCCCCCTTGTAGTACAAACCAATAACAGCGATTTGAATGTATGATAGTTTGTAAGACAACTTTTGTCCTACAATGAATAAAATTCTGAGATTTTAATGTTCAGTTAGCAAGGCAAAATTATGAGGATTTGCAATCTTAATTTCACTTTATTTGATTTACTTTTTTGGTAAAAGTGAAAGTGAAATTCATCGGTACGTTTTCACTGCAAACAGACTATATTTGTACCTCTGCCTATAACGAGTTGATTCCCAAATACTAGCGTTTTGATCATCAGTATGTGCATTAGTACTCATTGTCAAGTAACTGTTACGTGTTTTATCA